TCAATCTCGATTGAGAATATATCAGGGTTTTTACTGTTTAAATAAAGGAGAATCTGTCAGGATTTTTACTGTTTAAATGACATATTTCATAGGTATTGCATCAAAGGAATCTCATTTAATTTTTTGAAATACATCAGAATTTATAAATTAAAGTACAGTAAATTTTTTGAAGTGTTGTCAATTATCATATTTATATACACATTTATAAATCAGCGCTCGAAATAGTTTTTTTAAGCTTGCTGATCAAATGTAATTTTTTCACAAAAACAGGTTATTTGCCCTTATTATTTTATAATTTCCCTAAAAATAGCCGATCATTGATTGTTGATTGGCTGTTATATCGAGCGCTGATAAATACACTAAAGTTGTATAAAATTGCTTGATTTATATATATATTTTTAACTTTTTAGTATTTGAATGCTGGCCCTGGGAGTATTGGTGGTCTATTTATTCATGAAAGATATGCTTATGAAAAAGATTTGAAAAGGTTTCTTAAGTTTCAATTTGCTTTGATTTTTTATTATCTTAGACTATTGGTTTATTTATTTGTTTGGACATTTATTTATTTATTTGGACTGTATTCTTATCAATACCATCTTATAAAAAAAAGAAGCAAAGCTAATATTTATAGTCAAAGCTAATATTTATAGTCAAACCTAATATTTATAAGCAAAGCTAATATTTATAGTCAGTTATAAACCTGTATGATTTTGTTATAAACCTGCACTGATTTGTATGGTGAATACAATACTATCCTTGTTTTAATGAACTTGTTTTCTCATTACATAAAATAGATGTATTTCATCATTAGATTTACATTAGATAGATGTTTTGCATAATTTCTCCAATTATTATAATAATAAGCATCTTTTTTTCCTTAACTGAAACTTTTTTGTATCATTTCAAATAAACTCTATAAGTTTTTATACTACCACATCTACTTTTTTTTTCTGAAACTGTTATCTCTACATGGTGGTACCTAGTTAAAGACGTCTTTTTGCTCTATATACCTAAATTACTTTAATCTTCTCTGATGCACCCTGAAAGTTATACTAGGTTATCTTGGTTAAGTCAAGGGCTTTACTCAACCAAGAGTCACAAAGTGTGGAGTATTTTATGTCAGAATTAACTTCTTTTGTCTAGAAAAGAAAATTCTGTAAGTTGAAACACACATACAAAACTAAGTGTAACTTTCAGGGTACATCAGAGAAGATTAAGGTGATTTTGGTGTCTCTAAAAATATTCATCATAGGCAGATATTAACATAATAACATATGGCTTCTGTTTTGTGGAAGGTTTCTTAGGCAAAGGTTTTCTTAGGGGTAAACAGAAAACCTCTGATGAACGCTGGATCTTCTTGACTCAACTCATGGGTTATTCCTTGTGCTATTTTGGTTGTGACTATGCAACTCTTTCTATTATCTCTTAATAAGAATACAGATATAAAATATCAGAGTATTAGCTGTTTCATGTTGCACATTGACAGTGTCCTGTTGCACATTGACAGTGTCCTGTTAGTACTTTTGGCGTGCATTGTCGAGACAACATAGGAACTCTTTGTTTATGAATTCAGGTTGATTAGCAGGAATAAAACAAATTCTTGGTGAGTGTCATGTACTATTCATGGTTGAGTGAATTATTCTAATTATAAAAAAAAAAGAATAAAGTAACTAAAACAATATTCTGAACAAAATTATAAAAAAATTTAAAACCTTTTTGCTGATGTAAGACTACAATGTAAGAATTTAAATGTTTCACTTTTAGATTTCAATGTTGACAGCTATTATACTTTGATTTACATATACTCTAATAGTAACATGCTTGGCTTTGGCACTCATCTCAGATCAATTCAAATACTTCTACATGCTTTTGCTTAGCTCATCGTAACTCAATCATCTTTGTGATGTTGTTTCTAATTGAATTTACAATCTTTTCTATTACTTTCTCAGTCAAAATTGTTGTAATTGGTGACTCATTATACTGAATAACTTGTCTTGGCTGACTACCACTAATTATCACTAACTTTGCTGAACTTTCAAAATTTATCAAAAGCTCAAAATTTTTGTCTTTCTTAATCTTCTACTCAGATAGTTAACTTTGTGACCGGTTATTTACACACCCTTGTTGTTCACTTATCTTTTTTCATTGATTATGTCTTCTCTCTAATCGTAAATTGTGCTCAATTTCTCTCTGTTCTTCTATAAGTGGTTCCAATATATGCTTTTTACTAATACCATAGTTTTCTTCATGAATGTCTTGGGGCTGATATCTTTTGCCTGAAACTTATGCCTCCTTTATAATCTCCTGAATTCAGTCAGTTACAGAAGTTTTTATTCCTTCTCATTAATTTCAAGTCAAGCCTCGCTGTACCTCATGGTCCATTCTCAGATTACTAAACCTCATATTTTGTGAGTGCTTTTGTGGTATTGAAAAGTGTGTTAAGTAAAGATTCAATACAATCAGCAGAAACACCTATAGTACGTTATAAGGAGATGATGTGACAGACACTCTGCATAAAATATTTGTATTGAAAAAATGTTTAATCATTAGCATGTCCTGTTTTTATAGTGTAAAGCCACCTGTAGCTCATTACTGCCTAATTAAGATCTATTATTACTCCATTAAGATCTAAGGGAACCTAATCCAGAGATTTCATATTAAATGAGAAGAATATTAAAAGTACAAGCTCACTTTGTGGCTTGTTTTGCTGGTAACCACTCATAGCAACAGCATTAGCTTTATTTCAAAAATTATTGAATGATTCACTTTAGCATCTTGTTTGGAACATCTAGTTTTCTTTTCAGACAAAGAAGAAATATAATGATTCGATTACATTTCGTGAATAGTTATTAATAGAAATAAATACTATACAAATGTTTAATTTATATAATATTTATTATGCCCAGTTTTGATTTATTGCTTTTGATATATTACTTGATCAATTGCTTTTGATCAAAGCTTATATCAAAGGCTTTTAATAAAGTCTCACATTCTGATATTGCTCGCTTTATTTGATGAATCTTAGAAAGTTTTTAAATTATTAAATCATTGTTTTCTAATTGGGTTGTTCCTCGTCTATATTAAAGATCTTTCTAATAATGTTACCTCTAAAGTGACACAACTAAATACCTTGACAAAAAGTCATCACTTATTATTGCTTAGAACCAACAGCCAATCTTTAATCTGATTTCTCTTCTGTGACAACTTGGGGTTAACAGTGGCTTGTGAATTTTAAGCTAAACAAAACTCATTTACTGCTAACAATTATCATAGCATTGTTAATATTCTTATATTAATGAATGGCAACACCCTTACTGAGTTGTCTACTTCATGTCTTCTCTGATTACCATTCACTACTGACCTCTCATGGAAACTTATACACAACTCTCACTTTACACACAACAAGTTTACTTTGTACCACACAAAGTAAGGCTTTACCACTACACAAGTGCCACATAATTAAATCAATTTATTTAAAATGTTTAGACATAAATTAATAAAATTTTACTATTTGTAATAGTATTTTTTTTTTTTGTATGTATAAATTCACTTCCCCAAGGCTGATAAGGCCACTACAAACGAGGACGCTACTTAATTGTGGTTATAACACTTTCTCAACTCTATGACTCTGAAACACGAACTTTGACAAACAAGGCTGCTGTGCGGAGTAACAAGTTGAGCAATGTACTACCGGGGGCATGGTGGTGATCAAACTTGGAACCTCTTGCTTATGAAGCAAACACTCTATCACTACACCACTATCGCATAAATTGGTCAAAATTATTAATAAATCTTAAAAAAATTATAAATTAAGTTTGCATGTCATCTGTTATATGACATCCCTAATAGCTTAAAGCCTTCCACAGATGCATGTTCTGAGGACCTTTTATTACTACACTACTGAACAAAACATGAAACATAATAAGAATGCAAACAAGATAAGATATAGTGAACAAGAAAACAAACAAGAGGCGAAAGAAGCCAAAATTATTCACCACAGTTATTCCTATTTAAATTCACTAAAATATTCAAGATGTTAGTTTTCTTGAAAGAATTAATAAGTTACTTATATTTAAAAATTAAATTAAATTTAAAAAAAAAAAAGGTATTGTACAAAATACAGAAATAAATGTAAAATATCATTTATAATTGGCTGAATCACTGCTCTCTTTAATTTTACTGTTCTCTTAATAAGCTATATAACCTCTGAAATAACACTACAGGATTAAAGGAGCATATACATCAAGGGTGCAGTTTCTTTGCTATAGACTGGATTATTTGGTAAAAAGTCAAAAAGGTACTATGCCAAATAATTCCCTATATCAGTGTTTTGGCAAGTTCAACATTTGGTATTATATAAGTCAATCATATTGTTTTCATTTCTTAAATTTTAGATTTTCAGGATGGTGGGGTGTAGAGTTCAAAGAGCGATTTCATATGGATAATAGTAGGTTTATTTTTATTTTTGAGTTGTATGATATTCTATATATATATATATATATATATATATATATATATATATATATATATATATATATATATATATATATATATATATATATATATATATATATATATATATATATATATATATATATATATATATATATATATATATATATAATTTAAAAGTAAATTTTAAAAAGTAATTGTTAAAAAATAAATTAAAAATTATTAAATTTTATTTATTAAACAGATTAAATAATAATAAAATTTATTTAATACGTTTTGTGAAGATAATTTACCATTAATACCTGGAGCTCGAGGATTTACACTTTCAAACCCATGTGTTTTGGCAGTGGTTTCTCTCTTTTCCTCATTAGAGGTAAATGGAAAAGTTTATTTTAATTTTAATATAACATTAAGATTAAACCTTCATATTTAAGTCAAGTTATATAAGAAAACAAATTTCATTTTTAACTATTAAGTAAAGACATATATTTAGATATTTCATAAAGTTGGTACAGAGAAAATAATCAAAAAACAGAGGTTGTTAACAGGTAGATTATTTGTTCTAATTACAAATTTATCTTTTATGAGGACTTTTTTAAATTGCTTTTGATTATTATTTACTTATTACTATTATTTTTGAATATTAAAAATTTTAATTTTATTATAATATTATTATGTAGCGTGTCTTTAAAAAAATTTAATTTGCTTTTCTCCTTAAATATTTGTTATGGTCCCATAACAACACCAGAATTTTTGTAGATTTTAAAAATAATATATAGGGGTCATGTAAATTTTGAAAATTAGGGTAAAACTGTATCAGCGTCTCTCGAGTTCAGAAATATTTTAGGCATCAATCCTTTGCTTCCATGATCAATCCTTTAGCTTCATTAGATTAATAGAATCTAAAAATATACAATCTTTTGTGTGCATACATGTCATACAAATACTGTTAAAAGAACAATCAGACAAAAAATAAAAGCAAAATCTATCAGCACATAGCAAAATCTGGATTTTTGGAGAAATCATGATTATCCTCTTAATTAATATAATATAATTTAATTTGTATTAAATAATATTATATTAACTAATATAATTTAATACAATTAAGCAACTTAATTTAATTTTATGTAAATAATTTTATTCTTTTCAACTAAAACAGTTACTATATTCAGTGAGTCATTGTTATAATTGATTGTTACTAATTATACAATACTTACTAGAACAGAACCAAATAATTATTATAATTAAATAGGGGTAAGAGAATAGGAAAGGCCTAATTAGTATGATGTGTTGTGTAACTTTTACTGTTTTTTTTCCTTAAGATAATGGCAAAGTCCTCTTCATCCTTAACTTATAGTACAGGCGTCATCTGGTTGATTGGACACCCCTGTTACTTTATAACAGCTGTACACCTTCCTTCAGATTGTGATACGATGATAAACTTTTTTCACTATTACAGGAAGCAGTTGCTGAGAGTGCACATTGACAGTTGCTGAGAGTGTACATGAAGTATGGATGTGTGGATGAAATCACAACTTCCAATACGCTACAAACTTGATGTTATTCAAAAAATTAAGGATCTTCATTGCAATCATATTGGGCTGATGAAGTACCAATTAAGGAATAGTGACAAGGACCAGCAGAATCAAACAGAAATTGATGAAAAACTTGACAATTTGTTTGATATCAGCCATACCAGTTCCAATTCACCTATAAAGAACAAGAAAGAGCGACAGTTTCTCAAATTGCAGCAAGAATTAAGCACTGGGTGCATTGGGTTTGTTGAGAGCAAAACCTTTAATTGTAAAAAAAAAGTGCAAAGCGTTAAAGATGATTACTTGAGTGAACAGCAGCTTTGGTGGTACAACAATTTGTGACAGGAAGAAATAAAGAATACACTGGGATAGCAAGCTGCTGTCTGACATCACAGGAGTTGATACCAACCAAGTAGATAGATTGCCAGTTTTGATATCTACTCAAGAAAGTCAGCAATGGAAGCAGTTCTGGCACTTTTAAAGTCTTGGCAATGTGATTCGCTAGTTACATGCATGTGCTTCAACACGACTGGTTCAAATACTTGCAGATTAAATGGAACCTGCACACTTCTGGAAGCAATAATTGGTTATGACTTGCTGTGGATGGCATGTTGCCATCACATGTTTGAGGTGCTGCTGTCCGATGCATTTGGAGTATGTCTCGGCTCATCAACTTGGCCTGATATTTTGATTTTTAGGAAGCTCAAAGAGAAATGGTCAAACTTGGTACACCATCAACTATATCCTCAATCAACACCATTGATTTCTGCAAGTGGTAAATTAAAGGAGTTCATTGCTGAGCAGCTTTAACTTGGTCATCCACAAGATGATTATCTAGAATTTCTTCAACTGGCAGCATTGATGATGGTATTAAATTTGAATAGTTTGGCAGCTCTACGAAAATCTGGTGCTTTTCACAGAGCATGATGGATGCAAAGGCTAACTACATGATGAAGATCAAGTTGCTTATTTATGGCACTGAAACTGTAGTAAAGCTAATGGCTCGTAAATAGGGGATTCAGTGATTCAATGGATTTGTAGTAAATGTATATCTCCAATGTTGGTTATAATGGTGAACAGCAGCTGATGCACCATTCAATGGTATTTCACTTGTCCAATGGTTATACAACTACAATGATGCTGTCTTGCAGAAAACAGGTTTGAAGATGATGGTGCATCATTCATGGTGTTTGAGTCAAGAGTTTTAGCTCTGTTTTCTCAGAATCTATCTTGTGATGAGAAAGCACTGCTTGTGTCAACAATAAAAGATGATAGAGGATTGCATCTCCAAGCTTCTTCAGAACTACCGCCATTAATGACAATTTTCTCTATATTTCTGTTAAGGAATGGTCTGAAAACCAATCCCTTATGCAGTTTTACATCAATTCCCAAAACTTGGAGTACCCCCAAATATATAATTTTAAAAATCTGTCAAAGTTAATGTTGTTGGACCATAAAGAAACTTTTGGTAAGGACTGCATTAAAATTGTTAACAAAACAAAAAATAATAATTTTTCTGAGACACCCTAATGTAGATGGTCAAAATTTTCCTAACATAACATTCGCATTTTAATCTGATTATTATTGCTATTAAAAATAAAAGCTTCATCTCCCTGTTGTATCAACATTGATATATTTATATTATACTTAAAATTTTAACCTTTTGAAATTATTGATTATGAATGCCATCTTTTTTTTTATTAGCAGTGTCAATAATTTATTAATAAGTAGTAATTCATTTTTCATGATTTTCATTTTTTTCTTTTTTTCTTTTGTGTTTTTTTCCATTTATTGTTTGGCATTGATCTAATTGCTATCTAAAAAGAAAATACAGCAGAACTACCACCACCAATTTTATGGTGGTGGTAGTTATCTTTAATAACTTATTCGACACACCATAAAATGGCAATAACAATTAGTAGATTGGTTCAAAAGCTACCTCAGCAATTGCTCTTTGGCAATATTATATTATGTACTAATTAATATATTATTATAATATTATATACAAATGCTAATGAAATCTATATATATATATATATATATATATATATATATATATATATATATATATATATATATATATATATATATATATATATATATATATATATATATATATATATATATATATATATATATATATATATATATGTATATATATATATATATATATATATGTATATGTATATTAGGGTGGAGCTTATAAAATAAAATAAAATAAAATTTGTATTTTTTAAAGTCTTACCCCCCAAATCTGTTCCATATAACATAGAAACACTGCATAAATCGAGATCGCTGAATGGATTGATGAATATTCAATCAGTGACTTCAGCAGCAGCAGATCATTATAAGGAGCACCTGATGCTTGAGGTGCAGATATCCAGGCTTTCAGGTAGACACGTACTGTGAATACACACACGTCACGTAATCCTCTCACTTCAGCAGGAGTCAATTTAAATTGAGCCTTAAACATCCAGATCTTGAGACTGTATATGACTTTGGACATCCAGCGGGCATGGTGCATTGCTCCAGGTGACATGAATCGCACACCTCTGGCAGGAGCAGCACCAAGAAAAATAATCACAAGTTCCAAGAATTCTTTATAATCATCCCTCGACTGACTCTGTTCAATATGCTTGTTGGCATAATCGATAGTGTCTTGCTTTATGTCAGCCACGAGACGTTCGACATCATCAGTTGCAATCCCTGGCTCATAATTAGCTGTGTCTATGAAACCCCAGTATTGCTGGAAACGTTTGAATAGTGGAACTTCTGGACAAGATGTTGCTCCCATACACACTTGGAACACTGCACCATTTATCAGTTCCATAACGTGATGCCTACAAGCCAGTGATAAAAGCTCTTTCTCAAATTTCTGTTCTAGGAGGACACAGGCACCAGCAAGCCGACCAGTATTTGAGCTGGTCGTGTCAAAACACATTGCACGGATGCTGTCGGCTATGCCCCAGTTTTCAAATGCTCCAAAGACAGCAGTAGCCTGTGCCTCGCCTGTTCCAGAAGGAAGCTTGGCAACTGTGAGTAGCTGAGAGACTCCTTTTCCTAAAATCAATACAGGCAGGCCATCAACTTTCTCTTTTCCAAGTGAATCAGGAATCAGTTTGCCGTCCCAGTGAACAACAAGAGGAACATTATCCCAAAACTCGGCTTTTATATTTGCAGATCTCTGGACTCTGTGTTCCAATCTGTGTCGGCAAATTGAGTCTCTGTTAAGAGCAAATTCATTGATGTTCTGTCCTAAGCTTTTGGCAGTTTCTGCTATAACAAAAACAGCCTTGCGGTCTTACATTTTTGTTCGATATAGAGCTGCAGCGAGTTCTGGAATAACAACAGTTTTTCATCCCCTCTTTCTTTTAGGTGTCTGAAAAGTGGTGCTCCAACAGCTCCCTCATCTGCATTGTCACTAGTTTCAGTCTCTTCAACATCCTCTGCTGTACTGTTTTCAGATTCAGAACTAGATGATTTCAGTTCAGCTGTAGAAACGGCTAGCTGGTTCATTTGCTCCATTCACTGTTACCTGGCAAGCATTTGCTCCCTTCTTTTGGAAGCCCTTTTTTCCTTAGCAGCAAGTGTTTCATCTACTCCAGCCATTGACCCCTTTCTTCCCTTTTCTCGCTGGGCTACTAAGAAATCCTTAAAACTGATGTATTGGTCAGGGCATCGGCGTGAGCGACATCAAAGAGATTGTCAAGTCTTAAAACAAAAGCCGACTCTCTCCCAAGTTGAGTTGTTGTTTTTCGCGCTTTGTTCTTTTTAAGAAGACGCCATTCTTCAAATGCCTGTTCAAGCTTCGTTTGGCAGTTCTGATGATCTCTCATTGGGATTCTAGCTTTTTGCCAAAACTTTGTTATTTCTGTGATGGTAACAGCCGATGATTGTCTTATAGTCTCCTTTAATTCGAGATATAGCGCCATACATAATGATGGCAGCTTGCTGCCTGTTAATTTAGTAATAGTTTCGCTAAGTAGATACAACTCAGTTTGAGATCTGGTTAA